CGGGGACATGTAGAGTAATTTTGCGCTTTCTAACCCCTTCTTTACTTAATCATCCATTGCACGTGTATCAACTGTGTTTCCTTTTTCTTCTCTAAATTATAACCTTAACAAAAGTTAATGAAAAAAGGGAAATCGTAGCCAGAATTCTGTACTAGTAATTAACGTAAATGAATATGAAAGAATGAGTGGGAATCAGAGATCAGTGAAGACAAAAGATTGATTTACTTCGAGGATGAAGGAGGAGGAGGAGGTGGTGAAGAAGACTCGAATTTGTAGTGTTTATCAACGGCAACGGAGACATCCCATGTGCAACTGAGACCTTTGGGGATAACAACAAGATCTCCAGCACCGAACTCCACAAACTCCGATGAGCCTTTGGGGTACGCCTTCACTCTCCCTTTCAGCAAATAACAAGTCTCCTCTGCATCAAACTTCAGCTGGTATTTCCCAGGTGAGCAACCCCATCTGTGAAATCATAACATACTCAAATATCATTCAAGAAGAAGAAGAAGAAGAGAGACCCTGAAGGATTTAAGCTTACTTGGGCCAACACTTGATGTTAAGCTCTGAGAGCTTAGACTCTGAAGGGTTTCTTTCCACAACAATTCTCAGGTTATTTCCAGCCATGGAAGAAATTTTTTTTTTACTACGAATGAAATTAGAGAGGTGTTCCAGATTTACGCTTTGATATGATTCGTGGGAGTATATATAGGGAGACAGGCGAAGAAAAACAGTGTGTTTTTGGTTTAGGGTAAATAGAGTAGAGGATGGCTATTGGCTGTTCTAATGAAAAATATTGGCTTTAATGGGAAGAAAAATGAAAAAAAATAAAAAAACAGTTGCAGGAGATTATTAACCTAGTCAAAGGTTGACTGTGGTGAATGACAAAGTGAAACGTGGCATCAGACAATTCGATGGAGAAATCACTGTTTGAACAAAAGGTGTCATGGTCTTGAAGATACAGACCCAGCTTTGACTGGATGCTCCACAGTTTTTACTTTTTATTAGCTAAAATAGAAAGATTATGCTTAATTATTTTTTTAATTTAAGAAAAATAATATATATTTAATGTAAAAAATCATATGATACTGAATGGTTGCTGCATGGGAAATTATTTATTTAGTTTTTAAAATTTTAATTAAAAACAATGTATTAATTTAAAATTTCAAAATTTCTAAAATAATGTTTGATCAGTCACAACTCACGACTTCATTTTATTTTACATTGGATCAATCTCTGACGTGTTCTATTCGTTATCCTCTTCATCGGAAACTGTCAATGTCGCACGTGCAGTACCACTACCACATGCTCTTATTATTATAACAAAATTGCCTGTCGAGGTACTCTCTTTTGAGGCGAATTTCTTTAAAAAAAATTACCATTTCAAACCTTATTTTCCTGTCAGACATCATTTTATATTTATTTCTCGATTTAACGTTCTTTGTAAGAAGGTGTGGCCTATGTACCGTGCTTTAGACCACGTGTTAAAAGACAAGATCCATGCACCGCGTCTTACAAAATATGTAAAAAATTAAATACTAATTTCATAAATATTTTTAAATTGGTGTAAATATGTAATTAATTTATGTTAGGGTGATATTTGTGTAAAAACATCAACTTTATTTATTTATTTTTTGTGTGTAAAAAAAACTTTCTACGTTAAAATCTTTAAATATTCTTTTACAAATTATTTAATAACTCGAATTTTTTTATTTTTGCATGAAATTACATAATATGTATAATCTAGTATATGAAAACTTTGAGTGTGAGCAATTTAAATTATGAATAATTTTATAAAAGTTTTATAATTAGTATATCAAAATACACAAAATGATTAAGATGCAGTGATGAAGATAAGAAAGCAAATGTTAAAGAATAAGTTGTTCAAATCAAATTCCACTAAACTTTGTTAAGTTCAACAGGTTTCACACACCTCATACGTTACTATTCATTTACCATCTCGCATAGATTTGTGGTAGAAATTTATATTTCTTATATATAGGCTTTTATTTCCAAGCTTCTTTGCTTTCTTAATTGTAATTAAAAATGAATAAATATTATTAATTGTTGTTAAAAATAATAAATAATGAATAATAATTCATTTGATCCCTCAATTATAATTAAAAGTTTATTTTAATATTTTTTTTATATTTTTAAACAATTAATTTTAAAAGTTAATAAAATTTTCAAAATATATGAAATTTATAATTTTTTAAATTATAAAAATATTTTTTTATCGTCATCATCATTTTGTAAAAAAAATACTAGTTATAATTTTTTTATAAAATTATTCATATTTTAAATTGCTTACACTCAAAGTTTTCCTACACTAGATTATATGTATTGTGTAATTTCATGCAAAAATCAAAATTTATCGAGTTATAAAATAATTTACAAAAGAATATTTAAATATTTTAATGCATAAAGTTTTTTTTATGCACACACAAAAAATAAATAAAGTTGACATTTTTACACAAATATTATCCTAATAGAAATTAAATATATATTTGTCACTATTTTAAAAATATTTACTAAATTAAAACTCGATTTTTTACACATTTCGTAAGGTACAGTGAATGGGCCATGTCTTTTAACACGTAGCCTAAGGCGCGATGCATGAGTCTCGTCTTCCTGCAAAGGGTGTTAAATTACAAAATAAAGATAAAATGATGTCTGACAAGAAAATAAAGTTTGAAAGGGTAATTTTTGGGGAAAATCAACCTTTTTGACATGCATATTATAAATGTGTATTTTTTATTTATAATTTATAATGTATATTCTCTCATTTCCACTAATTATTGATTTTTAAAATTCAGATTTTTAAACTTTAACTATAATTATTTTAAAAATTAATTTTATAAATATATATTTCAAAACTATTTAATTAAAAAAATTTAAAATATTTTTTCATATATCTATTAATAATAAATTTTAAATGATAAAGAGTCAGAGTTCAAAAAATTGACAAAAAAATCTATAGTGGACAATTTAAGTGAGAGGGAGGTAGTATAAGTAAAAAGACAATTTTTTAATATATGAAAATATATTTTATGATTTATTATATTTGTTGAAAAATTATTTAACTAGATAAAATTATAATAATATTGAAATATACATTATATTTACTATTTTATAGTAATTGTCATCTAATTATATCGATTGTCGTTTAATTAAGATTACATTTGGATAAGATTATAGCATTTGTCTTCCTTTGGTTGGCATTTCATGGCATATTATTGATCAATGTCAAACGCAAAAGATGTTATGTGGCTAATGAAATAGATGGTATAATGTTAAGTGACATAAATATATTTTAGGTTGGACATATATACGTTAACAACATAATTTTTTTAAATAAAGTAAGTCTAAATAAAATTTTAAGATAAATATCATTCGTAAAATAAGTAACTAATTAAATAAAACTCAAATTTCAGAATAAATAATATCGACAAAATAAATAATTAATAAAAAAATTCATATTTAAACCTCACCAAGTTGTAACTCCGCAACTTATCATGGTGCACGATTGTAGATGCAATTTGACTGCTGCTTCAAATCGATCGGAAGGTTTGTATCTGATAAATCTATTGGGAATAAAATCAAATAACCGATACTGTGATAGAATTGTGTCTAGAACAACCTTTAACGAGATACTATTTAGTGTTCTATCGAATTAAATTGCTTAAACTATTTATAAATCCTACAACACTTAAATAAAAGATAATTATGTTTAAATATATTTGAATTTATCATTTTTTAAATATTATTATTATTAGAATTGTTAAATTAATATTCAATTGACTTCTAAAATATATGTTTTTATAAATATTATAATTTTTAAACGAGGAGGAGTTACATTCAAATTTTCAACTTCATTATAAATTATCTATGATTATTACAAAGGGTAAACTACACGGGTGACCACCAAATTAAGTTCAAAACAATGACTAAAATGATAAATGTGTAAATATTAAGAATCAAATATAAAATTATGTTAATTTTACTAATTGTCACTTCACCACATCCGTTAAAAATTAACAATTAGTGACTTGATTACACCATTTTAATAATTGGGTGGTCTGATTGATCGTATTCAAACGTTAACAATCAAAATGATTTATGACTATAGTTAAGTGATCACCCATACAGTTTACCTTATTACAAAACATATTCGTGGGATGCAACATGCGACACTGTAACACGACAGCTAGGAATCCATGTTATCCCTTGCAAAACAATTTATCTGGGTGGATTTTTTATTGCTTGAATGGAATCATGCATCATGTGCGTGTGATTTGCTTTGGAAATTAATGATTTATTTTATTTTTTATTTTTTCTATTCCCAATCCAAATTGATTCATGTTATTTACTTAATTTTGGTGGATTTAACCAACCTTTCAAGAACTTTCCACACACACGGCCTCAAATTTAAAATCAATTTAAACAATATCAAATTACTTACCACTTAAATTAATATATTAATAAATTAGTAATATCCTTTAGAAAATAATTTTGTAAGTATAAATCTTTATCTTATTTTTATAAGTTTTCTAACAAACATTTTAATTCTCTTTAGAAAACAGTAAAAGCTTTATTTCCCATCATACATATTTTGATCTTAGTTTTGTTCAATTACTTTTTCAGCATATATATTTTCGTTTGATTCGATAAAATATTAATAAGATCTATTAAAATAATTTATTCTAAAAAAGCTACTTTAATTGAGAAATTATTACCATAATATTTTAATAATAAGTAATAATGATAATCATTTGAATAATATGTTTGATTACTATGTTATCAAGTTTTTTATTACCAAAAAATAAAAAAGTAATTAAATTTAATAATTAGTTAAATGGATTTTTTATACCTAATTTGTAATTTCATTTTCTTAATAAATAATAATTAAAGTCGTAAGAAAAAAAGGGTCAGGGGTTGCAAAACCTGCGTAGGGATAAGATTGCACTGGGAAACAAACATCAGGATTCCAGTACAAATCGATTTGATATATGGTATATCTGAATACACAGAATTATTAGATAGTTTTGTCCGCCCCCTTTCTCAACCTCAAACTATTAAATAAATCATTCTCTCTCTCCGATTTGAGATTTCTATCTTCTACAGTCTCTTATTCATCAATGGCGACTCAAGGCCAAGTCATCACTTGCAAAGGTACTCTGTTTGTTTGTTTATGCGTTTGCTAGCTGTTACGAAACCCTATTAATTCTACTGCGGTTACGGTTTTGATTTTGAAGCGGCGGTGGCTTATGAACCGAACAAGCCACTGGTAATTGAGGATGTCCAGGTGGCTCCGCCGCAGGCTGGTGAGGTTCGGATCAAGATTCTCTTCACTGCACTCTGCCACACTGATGCATACACTTGGAGCGGAAAGGTTTTTTTTTTTCTTTCCTGTTTTGTTTTGTATATATTTTTCTATTTCCGTTTTGTTCATCTCAGTTGCTTTATAAGTATATTTCCAAATGAATCCGATTGCATCTCACATGTTTCCATTTTGATTTGAAAAACGTATAAGCTCCAATCGCTTTATCTCGAAGAAGGAACTGTTTGAGAAGATAGAAAAGAAATGAATTATTTTCGCTTTTTTACTTTTCTGTCCAAACAAACACTACCTATTTCCCTAGGATAATGAGTTTCTCTTCAAAATGCCATGTAAACTGGATTGTTAGGAATGAACACGTGGAGATTCCAAGCTAAATGGGAGTATCTTGCTGACTTTGTATTATTGCTTTAAAATAGGAAAGATGTGTATAATGTTGTTGATTTCAATACTTTTTTGGTAAATTGAAATTGGGGTGAGATAATGTTGATAAGAATATAATTTGTTTTTCGTGTAGTCTCTAGCAGTGACAGTGATAACGCCTAGCCTTTTCTGGTTCAAGATTTTCTTTTGATATTTTCTAATCAGCTGTTTAATTATGATGACTAATATGTTTGATTTAACCTTTTCAGGATCCTGAGGGTCTATTCCCATGCATTCTTGGACATGAGGCTGCTGGGTACGCCGTTTACCATTTGTTCTTACTGTTTCTGAGCCTCTTGATGGCTATGAGCTTAGAATTATTTTTGAACTTTTGAGTGCAGGATAGTAGAAAGTGTGGGTGAAGGTGTAACTGAAGTCCAACCAGGTGATCATGTCATCCCTTGTTACCAGGCGGAGTGTAGAGAATGCAAGTTCTGCAAATCAGGAAAGACAAACCTATGTGGCAAAGTTAGGACTGCCACTGGAGCTGGAGTCATGATGAATGATCGCCAGAGCCGCTTCTCAGTAAATGGGAAATCAATCTTCCACTTCATGGGGACCTCAACATTTAGCCAGTACACGGTTGTGCATGATGTTAGTGTTGCAAAGATTGATCCACAAGCTCCTTTGGACAAAGTATGCCTTCTTGGTTGTGGTGTTCCAACTGGTAAGTGCTTGTTTAACTTTCTCTTTATTCATAAATCTGTAATTACATACATATTTGGTTTGACAGTTCATATATATTTTGTTTTAGGACTGTATATACTGCAGCTTTTGCACAAACTTAAAAATATATTTTTGTGTTGGACAGGGCTTGGTGCAGTTTGGAACACAGCCAAAGTTGAACCAGGGGCTACTATTGCTATTTTTGGCCTTGGGACTGTTGGTCTTGCGGTAAATGACAAATAGCATCTTACTTGTTTATTACGGACTTCTGTGCATGTTTAAGCTGTCTTCCAAAATATTTGTTATCTTCATCATTGCTCTCTTTGCGGTGCTAGTCTGTTAGATGTTAAACAGTTTACCTTTGAATGTGACTGTGCAGGTTGCAGAAGGTGCGAAATCAGCTGGTGCTTCAAGAATAATTGGTGTGGATATTGATAGCAAGAAGTATGATATAGGTAAGTAATTTACAAATAATAATTCTTAAAAAGGAGACTATTTAGTCAATCTTAATATGGAATATTCAGTAAATATTCTGTATAGTGTGAGTAATGGAAATAGTTGCTAGAAAATGAGTGCTTACTGCTTTGCCTATCCATCTTTGAGATAAATATAAATCATGCATTGCTTACAGTCTTCTACTTCTAGATGCTGATTTCTTTTTTCTTGTCGAATGCAACTTGCAGCAAAGAATTTTGGAGTTACAGAGTTTGTGAATCCAAAGGACTATGATAAACCAATTCAGCAGGTCCTTATTGATCTCACAGATGGTGGTGTTGATTACAGTTTTGAGTGCATCGGAAATGTCTCCGTCATGAGAGCTGCTTTGGAATGCTGTCACAAGGTATATGTGATAACTGAATTTGATGAACACTAATGACTGTAAATGGAGTACTACTTCTAATGAACCTGAGAAACTTCCAGGGTTGGGGAACATCGGTTATCATAGGTGTTGCAGCATCAGGTCAAGAGATATCTACTAGACCTTTCCAACTGGTGACTGGCCGTGTCTGGAAAGGGACTGCGTTTGGTGGATTCAAGAGTCGTTCACAAGTGCCTTGGCTTGTGGACAAGTACATGAAGAAGGTAAATGCAATTTATATGCAATTCTATCTCCACACCTATAGAGTGAGCAGGAAACTTTATTCTGTTCTCCTTCCCATTGCAGGAAATCAAGATTGATGAGTACATCACCCACAATTTGACTCTCGGAGATATTAACAAGGCATTTGATCTGCTGCATGAAGGGGGTTGCCTCCGATGTGTGCTTAAGTTGCAGGAATGAGACTACACGTGTGAACTAAAGGGGTGATCTGTGAAGAACTACGTGCCTATCATCTGGAACCGGGTGTGTACTTTTGCTGCTATCTTATGAGTATAAACTAGAATGTGTTTGTATGAAGCCTAGTATTTTAAGCTTGTGAAAAATGTTTGCTTTATCATGTTAAAAGCGAACCTGTAATGGAGGTGTATGCACGAACAAAATAATTGAGCTCCAAATCATCTGAATTATGGAGTTGATGAGTATCAGATATTGATGTTCTGAAATTTTGGTGTTTGCTCGTGGAGATATTTGCTTCTCTATTCCTGGTTGGTTTGATTTAATTTTTTTAGAAAGAGAGAATTGAATAATTTCCATTTCCATCAAAATTCTCCGATAGATATCCAAAGTGTGGATTTCACGTTCCCTCCTATCATAACCAAGTTTCAAGATGAATGCATTTCATTTTAGGGTCGATGAATTGATCTATCATTAAATGTAAAAAGAATCCCGAAATCTGTATATACCCTAATATGTAATATTTTTAAGGGTTTTAGACTTCTCATGTTTTTCTTTGGTTCTGGTGCCGCATTCTTCTTCCTGTTTTTCGTCTTTTATTTGTGATTAACGAATCAACTTGAATCGAATATAGACAAACTGAAAATGGTTCGACCCGAAATGGTCTGATATAAACTTGATCAGAACGACCCGTTTTTCACCTTTAGTATTACGTAACACCTTCTTGTCTTGTTTTGTATGACGTCATTTTAAAAGAATAATATATGTTATGGGTGACTTTAGCATCACGCAAGTTGTAATTTGCATGCTACACACTGGTTTTGAACTGGTCTCCACTCCCACATATGACAACCTTTGAAAATTCTAATTTACTTGTACTGCATTGTGGTTTTGAATGGGTCTCCACACCCACTATTCGCAGACCTTGAATTCCAAGTTTGAAGATTGTCATTATTTATAGTGGTCAAATGGGAACTTTTCAGTATTAGTCCTTGTCAAAAAATAATAATTCATCTAAACTTTTTTAGTCTTCGATTAAATTAAATATATTTTTTTGCTCCTCCAAAGAATCAATATTTCAATTTCATCTCTTTTGGTTTTAACTCAAAATTGTTACCAATCGATGGCTGATGGACGACGAATCAACGTTTTATACCCCATGTACCCTAGGATGAAAATCGAGATCGCACGGGATTTCGACGGCCAATCAACGGAGACTACGACGACATATGAGTAGGAGGATGGTAGGGATTATGTCGGTGGTGATAGTCGTGGCTTGAAAGGGCGGCAACGTCAGATTAAGTTTAGGATGTGGAATTTAGGGATGTTTTATAATATAAGAAAAATTTGTGTTTTTTTATAAATATCATAATATTTGTAATATTTAAAAAAATAACTTTCAAAATTATTAGATTGTGACACGTGTTAGTTAACGGGGGAAATTAACTCCCGGACACTTAAATGGGTAATGTTTGGAACGTTAGGCACCAATATGAGTCAAAAAATAATTTAGGCATCTGTTTGGGAAAACGGTATAGTTTAAGCTCTTATTTTGATATTAAGCCAAAAATGATTTATGTTGAGTTGAGCTGACATAATATCATCAATTTTCGAAACGAATTGAGATGAAACAAAAAGTTTAAACGTTCGGATTGAGCTCAAGACGGTTAAAAAGACCGACCCAACGTATGCCTATCCCTAGTTATTTACGAGCCAACATCAAAGACATGCATATATGATCCGGTGACAATAGATGATGCTGAGCAGTATCAACTGTTATTCTAATTCGTTAAAACTTCGTATTCTCCGGAGTAGATGTTTAATTCGGACATCCAAGTTCAATAAACATGAATTTATGAAGGTAATAGAATTTATATAAATGCATAATATATTAAACATGGATATTAAAATACACCAGACAACACACTGAAACCCTCCTTTTCGGATGAGTATTGTTCGGGGTTTGATCTCAAGATCAAGTGTAGATAAGAAAACAAATTGTTTTATCATTACACAACTCACAAGTTGACAAACACCAAATCTTATTATAAAATTATTTTATATCGATGAAACCCAGCCGTTCGATTTTGCCACCACAGAGCTGAAGTCCCATCATCTTAATTAGCCTTCCGGTGGTTGGGGGCGTAGTTTATGGATCTTCTTCATCTTTGGCTTCGTCCAAGGCTGCATTTGCTTTTTCCATGGCAACGATTTCACTGCAAAGTGAATGTAGCAATCCAACTAGTATCAAATTTTAGGAGGGACGAAATTGCTAAACTTTAGAAATTAAGGATCTATTCAGTGTTTAAACTCATAGGGGGGAAAGTCTAATTATACTAATATTTGAACTTGAAAGTACCTAGAACGCTATTAGACCAAAATATTTGAGAGGGGCATTCAAAGTTAAAAGGATAAATAAAGTACACCAAAGGTCATTAAGTTCTGCTCAAATGATCATCTTAGTTATTAAATTGATCGAACTATTATATAGAGTTTTTATGAAATTATAATAAATGAAAAATTTAATGACCATTTTGTACTTTTTAAAAGTACAGTGATCAAACAATTATTTGAGCATAGTTCAATTGTGTCGTGTGTACTTTACCCAAGTTAAAATTACAAGCAATTCTCATGAGATTATATATACATATAACTAGGTTTTGCAGAAACAAACCGAAGGTGTCGAGTGAGATTAGCAGCTTGAACCAAATCACCAGCTTCACGAGCCTTCAAGATTCCGAACATGAGAACGAGCTTGGCTTGAGTAATGGCCGATTGCTTCTCGATCATTTCGGTTTCTTCTTTCAGTTCATCGCATTGTTTAGCAATCTCATTAAACCTTGTTATTAAATTCCTCTGCTCATCTTTTAAGCATTCCTGTTCTTCCCTTACCTTTCCGATCTCCGCTTTCACTCGTTTGGCTTCCATCCTCGCTCTCAGTTTCTTCTTCGTTTGTGATTTCGAGCCCACTCGATCAATCTTTCTCGGTGCCATCGGATAATATCACCGCTGCAGGCTTGAAGTTGTAGCTCAATTTTCGAACTACAGCCGATTGAGAAATGATCTTGATCACTGAAATTGGCGCTAACATGGTTTTAATGCATGAAATTGCAGCAAGTTCGTCGAGGTTTCAGTGGTAAATACGGAAGGGCGGACGAAAGGACTTGGAACCAAGTTGGAAAATCATTGATTGTAAGAGTCATTCCATGAATCCATATAGATTTATACTGGTGTAACTGGTCAGCATTGTACGTATCGTTCGGCTGTTAAGCTGGAATCGTGCGATTGAAAGAATTTCGTCGTGCGGTTCTTGCCTCGGAATGACCATTAATGAATGGGCCATTGAAACTCTGGGTTCGAGACCCGCTTGACCTGACCTGCTGGAGATTTGGGTTTCACGATCAGGCTCAGCCCTATCAAACGATCATATTGATTAATGGGTATGTAGTGAAAATCACTTTCATTCTTTTATTATTTTTCATTTAGTTTCATTTTAATTGTTTATTGTCCATCACATTAGTTATCCATCATTTCTATTAAGGATTAATATAAAAATATTATAAACTATATTTTTTTTGTACTTAAGTGTTTAATTTTTTTGGTCAATTTAAGTATTTAACTTTTTTAATATCATCATTCAGATGCCTCGATCGTAACATACACTAAATTTATTTTTAAATGTTTAACGTTTTAATTTTTTTTTTAAAAACTTAAGATTATTATTATTTAAAAAAACTTAAAATATTTCTAAAATCTTAAAAAGGTTTCAATATCTTTAATCTTAAAGTATCTATCTCATCAGTCGGTTGTCCACCGCTGTTGTCACCTCCACAGATAATTTACTCACACGTCCCACCTACCCATCCATCATCGGTATTCAATTGTAGCTTCAAATTCTCAAAATTCTTAAACTTAAATATTTTAGATTTAAACCCTTAAATCCTAATACACATACATTCCAATTGACGAGTGAGCGGATGATCGTCGGCGGTGGTGATCATAGACATCCCAAATATTTTCAAGGTTACGAGTAAAAACTCAAAAATATGTTTTGTTTTTTTAATACAAAGGAAGAGCAAAGCTCTTAGATAGTCCCTAAGCCTAGTATATCCATCTGCAATAAACTTCCCATCTCCGCAAGAGCTTCCCCGAATGTCAGGAAGTTTTCTTCCAAGTTCCAGGCCATACGCGCCATTCCATCCGCAACCCGATTGCATCTCCGGGAAGCATGCCTAACTTGAATCGTCCAATCGCGTCGAAGAAGATCTCTAACACGAGGCACCAAAGATGAGATTCCATCCTCTTGTTCCCTTGAAGGACAGCAACAACATCCATGCAATCCGACTCCACTATTACCTTCCGAAAGCCATGGTTCCACGCAATGGTTAATCCGGAGAAAATACCCCATAGCTCGACATCCACCACCGTGCAACAGCCAATCTTCTGCGAGAAACCCAAGATCCAGTCAGCATCCGAATTTCGGAAGACACCGCCACACGTGGCCCATCCCGAATCACTCCGCCACCCTCCATCGGTGTTTAGTTTCACCCAATCAGTAGGAGGTGCTTCCCACGATATTCCTCCCACACCAGGTCGCTCCTGAACTCTTTGCCGCACCACCCTATTATGCAATGCTCGGGTTATTTCTTCCTTAATTCGAGTATTACGAGGAGTAATGCCTTCAAAGGCTGTGGTTTCCTTATAAAAATTGACTTGGTTCCGACGAGTCCATATACACCAAATCATCACCCCAAAATGAATATCCCAGTCAGTTGTTGTTATAGGGAAATATTCCGGTTGGCGAATATTCTTGTCAATCCATGCAACTAGCTCCATCCTCGTGAACTCATCCCACCGTTCGGGATTTATCAGCACCTTCCATGGCTCCCTCACGAGGGGACATTCCCTCAGCAATTGGGATCCGCTTTCTCTGGCTGCATCACAAAGTAAACAGCTAGCGTCCGACATTAGGTGGCAACGCGCACGTTCCTTGTTTGATAATAAACGCCCCTTGCAAATGATCCACAACAGCATTTTAATCCGAGGAAGCCCCCGATATCCGTTAGTAACATCCCACGGAACCGTCGCACTACCGCTGTTTATGTGCATCCTTATCTTGTAGGTAGAAGAAACCGAGAATCATGTCTTAGTGTAAAATTTCCAACCAACTTTATTCGGGCCTACATGGGACAATGGAGGTCTCACCGTTGCTAGTGAAGACCGAACCTTCTCCGGAACGTGATTCCAAATTTGAGCCCAATCCCATTCCCCTCCTCTCGTGGTCATTGCAATTACAGGAGTACCTCTAGGGGGAACAGCTTCCGTAGGGTTGTAATACTGGATCAGCGGGCCAAGATCATGAAGCATTCCTTAATTGCCGAGCTTTCCATCCTGCAAGCCTCTCCTGAATTCTCTGAATAAGTTCGCCATAAGTAGCCGAGGTGACCCTATTATGCAATAAAGGTACCCCTAAATACCTCCCTAAATCATCAACACGAGAAAACTGAAAATATTAGATTTTGTGAAAATATATTATTTTTATTATTTTATTAAAAAACGCCTTAAATGCAACTAAAAGAGAACAAATAAAAAATAAATTGAATGCATGTATGATATATAGCTTGATTTTCAATAATAAATAAAAAGAATTGTATATTATTTTATTGTTAGATTAAGAATGAAGAATACTAAAAATTAAAGAATATTTGATAAATTGTGCAGTAAGATTTGGAAAAAGAGAAAAACATTATTAAATTTAATTCAAAATTGAATGAATAAATAAGAAAATGGAAAAAGAGAGTCAAAAACTAAAATTTAATGAACTTATAAAAATTAGGGGACTTAAATAGAAATATAAAAATTTGGTTAAATTTAATTCAAAATTGGATGATTAATAAGAGAAACGAAAAAAGAGGGTAAAAAATTAATTTTTTATGAAATTATAAAAATTAAGGGTCCTAATTATAAATATAAAAAATTGAAGACTCTAATTATAAATATAAAAAAATTATGGGCCCTGAGAGTTGATCAGGGTGCTCCCCTAAGAGCCGCCCTAGGTGATATACATATAAATTGAAGATCTTGGGTGTTTTATGAAAAAGAAAAGTTTAAGTTTTTTAATTGAAAATTTATGAATTTTAATTTTTAAAAATGAAAAGAAATACAAAATCGAACTACGTGTAAAATATTAATTGGTTGATTTTTTAATGATTTTTTAATAATAGTTATATCTTAAATATCTAAATTATAATATTTATAATGTTAAATATCTAAATTTATATAAAAAAATTTAAATAATTAAATAATAGAAAATATATAATTTAAACACTTAAAATTATATTCAGTTTTTTATTAATGAATAAGTCAACAATCAACATTTGTCATCATTATTGTATCTCTTCACCACTTTACTGGGAGATATGCCACGCGCCTTCCAGGTTGAGAATTGAGACATTAACAGTGAAAATAATAAGGGTAAACTCTATATTTAGTATTTTAACTATTAGTTTTATTCCGTTTTAGTACTTAAACTTTTAATATTTTCAAAATCATACTTAAATTTTACTTTTTGTTTTATTTTAGTACCCCACCGTTAAAATTTTAGGTACTAAAATGAAACAAAAAGTAAATAGAGGGTACTAAAGTGAAACAAAAAGTAAACATTAGGTATGATTTTGAAAAAAGTAAATTTAGGTATTAAAACAGAATTAAAGTGATACTTTAGGTACTATACATGTAGTTTACCCAAATAATAAATGATTAGTTAATATATTTTCAACTAGACGATAGTACGTGAGAAGGACGCTCTTGATGAAGAGAATGAGATCGTATCCTATAGCAGCATCAATTATCATCGGCGCCATTAATGCAAATTTCTCGTACCCTGAACTGCAAAAATCTGAGAAAAAGTCGAAGGAAAACGAGAATTGTGAAGCCCGGTACGGCAATGATCGGTGCATTTAAAAAGGGTAGAATTGGGTGGGAAATTTAGGTTTTTGCTTTGTCCTTGGCTTAGCCGGCCTTTTTTCTGGCGCCACTGCACGCTCACCACATGCACGCTGAATTTCCTTAGTGGAAAAAAGCACTATACGTTATCGTTTATGCAAGTTAAATGTCTCTTTTGTTTGATGCATTAAGATAAAACACTTTCAAAAAACAAATGTCATTGCCGTGATTTGAGTATCTTCACAAGTCATTCATTTTCCTTCAACGACTTCAATTCTTTTACTCTTGATCGGCTTGTTGTTTATTTTATATTTCGCTTCATGAAACAGCCATAGGAATAGGATGACAAGAAACTCTAAAGCTTGAACCAACCAACCAAACGATCAAAATGTAAATTTTTTTCAGCTAAAAGAACGAAGCCAGCATTTGATATTTACTTCCATATATATAATACCATCTTCATTATTTAGTTGTATTTTTTTATTTTGGTTTATTTATTTATTTTTTAAATTTTCAAGAAAAAAGAAGCGTAGAGCTCGCTTAATCTCCTTTTCTTATGGTTAACCTTTCCTTCTCTTTGCATTTATAACTCACTTCTATTTTTAGCATTTTTCTTTTTCTCTCTCTTGCTTGATGGAACCAAAACTCTGCTAAACAGATCCAAAAGGAAAACAGGAAAATTTTCAGGTAAGAAAGAATCTATTGTGTTGCTCTTCCAATTAAATTTGCCGCATTTTTGCTTATTTATTAATTTTTGCATAATTCCGATTTCATCCCATGTTATAATATCAATTTTCCTTTACAATAAGGCTCTTTGTTGATTTTTCCATTTTGAGAATTGAAGAATATAAAGTTGTTGGGAATTTATATGTTTTTGGTTTGCCATTTTCATTTATGTTTTTTTACAGCTTTGCAATAATTTTTACCATTTTCATTTTTTTTTTTTGCAAACAGGGTGTTGTAGTGTCTGAATCATACAGCCCAGGATTTGGCATTGAAAATTTTAAACTTTATGTAAGAAGAGGCCATCTTTTTGTTGGATTTCAGAAGAATATATACTGGAAGGTCATAGAATTTGAGGATCAAGAGCAACTGAAAGGGTATCCATTTCATATCTTGGTCTAATTTTAGAAGAATAAGGTATGATCTTGTTTTATATTGGACATGGATGACAATTTAATGGAGGAGAGATTTGTGTTTATTTGGTGAAATGACTCAATGCGAAAATGTAAGATGAAACAATTAAGTTTTTAGACATGGAAACCAAGGAAGAAGCTGAAGGAAATGAAGACAATCCACCATTACCCCTTTGGGAATTAAACCATCTTTTGGAGGAGGAGGAAAAGGAGGGTGTCAAAGACAAAGTGGATGGAGAGGCACAAAATTCCAAGCAGTCAAGGATCTCGAATCCTTCAAGGCTGCCGCCATTGGGGCATAGGCGCACTCAGAGTGAAGTTCTAGCTGCAGGACACCGGCGTAATAATAATTTCCTAAGAACAAAAACTTCTATGCAGAAAGCTTTGCGATGGGGCGGAATTCCAAAGGATGGAAAGTACCAGTCAAGCTTCAATCCTGAGGTTCTGGCAAACCAGAAACGCCAGTGGTATCAACTCCAGTCCAAAACCAAGGTATCTGGATCCATCTCTTCTTCTTCTTTCTTTTATATTCTTTTCATTTTTTACAGGTTTCGTGTGATCGGTTAGTGTATGCATTAAGTGCAGCTTTAAATTTGTCTGATTGGATATAACTTGTTCTTGAAGAATAAGTATACCCTGCACCAGTACTTACCTTACATAGTGGCCAAATCTCATGTTAATTCCATTTTTTCCTGGGTTCTCATGAATGTAAAGTTTACTCTCATTTAAAAATGTGACACCTCTACCTGTCTCTACCAAAATTTTCCATATACACTAGACACTACTATAATGCAGGTACTATATTGGATGATAGCATATCTGTTTAGTTGGTCTAAGGGCTTCTTACCTACCCTTGATTATCATTGGTATATATGCCAAACATTGATGTTATAGAAAGTCATAAGACATGGCTCATATTATTGTTATTATCCCATTTTATGTTTTAGTTTAAGGTTTTCTTGGCCTTACATTCAGGTAGGACCGTTAGTAATTGGTTTTGGTTTGAAAGCCATAAACTGGATAGACATTTTGCTCTTTTCTCATGCTTGAAATACTAATCCGTAGTAATCTAGTATACCTTAATGTAGGAAGGCAAGTTCATACCTTAAGTTAGTGATTCTGACAAAAATCTGCTATCAATTGAAAGATTTTAGATGTTGAGATGAAATGGTTAGTGGAAGTTTTCTGATGGGATGCTGATATATATCTCTATTTGCGTTTTGGAATCTAATTTGAGGATGTTGTTGCAGGAAAAGCTCAAATATGAGCAGCCCACTTCAGTCTTCGAGCACTTCATTATTGCCGGAATTCATCCAGATACTGAACTTGGGTCTGTGGCGGAAACCACTGCTAAGAGGAAGAAGTGGGAAACAGATATGAAAAGATCCGGAATGATAGATCTTAAAATGATACAGAATCACGGTCCTCCAGCTCCAATATTTGAACCCAAGGTTTACTACATCATTAAATACGAGGAAACTCTTTCATATTTTTGACAGCATGTTCAATTGCTCCTTTAATAAGTTTGCAGCACCTTATGGAGATAAGTGTCTCCTTGCAAATAAGGGCCATGCCACTGCAGAAGCAAGAATTTAGCTTTCATTGTGTCTTTACTTTCAAGCTTTCCCCTTTCTCCATTTTAGGGAATGCTTTTACTTTGATTGAATTTGCTTTGTGTTCATTTTATTTTCATATACACTGAAATCATTATTTGTCTTCCCTTTCCTTTTTCCCTATCATCAGATACTTTTTAGATACCCTCCTGGGAAGAAGTTATCTATGCGTTTGAAGGACTTAGCTACCTTTTGTTTTCCTGGAGGTGTCAAGGTTTGATCTCACTATTTTTTTTGGTGACACTATGTCAAGGTGTCAACTTGGTGTGAAGTTTATTAGTTTAGCTTCTCGGTATTTCCTTTTGTTGGTTCACACGCTGCATTTAAAAGTTCACTTTATCATTTTGATATTTAACTTTTTTTTTGGGGGGGGGGAATGGATTTGATTCATCGAAGTTTGGGCTTTCTATGACATTGTCATTTGTAGTTTATATGAAAACTGTTAAAGTACCTTGGTCAACAAGTGAGCATATTGTGCGTGATCTACTTGAAGTTTCTCATCTTTTAGCCTTATATATGAGAATAGCTTCATGGGCCCTTTTTATTAGATGTATACACATAATTTCTGTCAAAATGTTATTCTGCTATATACAGTTTAAAATTTTAGTCGTAATCTCCAGCCCAAATTAAGGATTTAGATGGTTTCTTGCATCTTTTTTCATTTCACTACATTTATTTTTGATTCTCCAGGTATTAATATATATGGACCTAATCAGAAAATTTATTTTTCAATGAATTTAGGCACGATTGCTTGAAAGAACTCCATCATTTAGTGAACTAAATCAGCTTCTTTATGGACAGGTAAGTCAAACAAATGTCTCTAATTATCCTATGTTAAACAGTTGAAGGATTCTTATAATGTATCTCTAATTTGTAAATTTACTTGCTTTACATTTCATTTACCTTATTCTGAAAAGTGATGCTTCAACTAAAGAGGAGATGATGTAGAGTTTTGGGCTAACCAACTCACTACCAATTAACTACGATGTTTTGTTTTAAAAGGAATCCTAAATATGATATATATGTATGTGTGTGTGCGCGCGGGGGGGTTTTCCAACTAGTTGTCACTATGTCAATTCAAAAGTATAGCCAGTTTTGAGGCATGAGCTTTTTCTTTCATGTTGTACTGTTGACTTAAAGAAAGAGTAACATTTTACTGTTCTATATTCTCCACAGGAGCATTTGGGCAGAGATGATTTTACATTTATTTTCTCACTAAAGGTGTTTTTCATATTTTTTTTCTAAGCTATGCCTTGAAATATTTGCATTGATTTCATTTTCTCGAACTGGATCCCTTCATGGTACCTTGACTGACAAGGGATGTCATTGTAAATGGTATTCATTTCTATCATGTCTTAAAGGGCAAGAAAGATGACATCTGGGGGCAGTAAATTGCACCATTTTAATATCAGATTGAAGTTAATGTCGATGGGATCAATCCCCTTTAATTGTATGGCTGTAACGGAGAGCAGAGTTGAAACTGTGAGCTCGGTCCCCTTTAGTTGTACGAGTAACTTTTTTGGTAACGTGAGGACTGTGGAGTATCACCAAGTAGGAGGCACGCTTCTGAATTCTTTTTTTTATTACCGTTTTTGAGTTATCCGTTCCAAACATCACCTTTAACCTGAATATCAAAAAAAAAAAAAATCATTCTGGACACTGAGATCACTGATTGTCGGTACAATATCACTTCTGTACGTGGCACTTTGTTTGAATGAAGCCATTCTTATGCTTTGAGTGTTCATAATAATGAAAACTGCCGAATCCCATAATGAGATAAGAATTTTCCGGTTCTGATTTCACTTCTTTGTTTGACAAACAGGAACTTATATTGATTGCTGAAACATTTTATGCTCTCTTGATTAGGTGGCAGGAAATGCTACGGTTTACGGTGTTTGCTTGCATGTACCAGAACTTGTAAAAAGGCAGCCTGGTAATTTTTTTGGTGCATCACGTCTTTCTGAAATTTCAGGAGCAAGGAGCCAGTTTCTGGTTTCTGCACCCCGCTGCTATTGTTTGCTAACTAGAGTTCCTTTCTTTGAGTTGCACTATGAGATGTTGAACAGGTTAAAGTAAATCCGCTTTACCCCCATGACCTTTGAGAATTGTTTATTGCCAAGATTTGAGGATATATGGTAACTACTACAATAACCTTGTTGGTAACCGAATTCTCAAGATCTTACTTGCATGCAGTATCATTGCACAGGAGCGCCTGAATCGAATAACTGAAGTTGTTAGTGAAATGAATCCATCTCTCGATGATAATGCACTATCTTTCTCAAAACAAGATGATCAAATAAACGATAACACCATCACCGACAATCCCAATAACAAGTATGTTAATGATTGGATGGCTTCGGCGATGCCTGCTAACAGTACAGTGATTCCTGGTGATGCTACTGCCAATGATGAGTTTTCATCTGCTTCTTTAAAGATAGGTTCGCCACTTTCACCTGAAAGTGTAACTGCTAGTGAGGTTTTAGAAAGCGTGCTCTATATTGATGACAATGTATCTGAAGCCTCGGAAAATCGGATCAGTGCTTCAGAAAGAATAAACGACAACTTTGAAAATGGGCAAAATTCTCCAGATATTGGATCAGTTGTAAGCTTGAGGAGCTGCACTTCTACTCAATCGCTATTCAGGTGGTGAATTAACTAATTGATTTATTTAAGTTGCACTATAATAGTCCTCAATAAAAAAAGTTTGCATTACAACAGATAAAAGAGTTCTTTTATTACAAATGAAAGAGATTCTCACGTCTTTATTTTTGTACGCTTCCTTTATTTTGCCACTACTTTTCTCACTTTCTTGTGGTTCTTTTCCAGTTTTTTCCCATCACAATTTCAGTAATATATTGTTATCTTTGGCAGTCCAGCTAGAAGCCCGACATTAGAATATAATGATGAGGATGATGACCTTTTCTGGAATAATGAAAAAGAATATGGAGATGATTCGATATTGGAATGGGCTAAGGTTAGTTTTCTGTTGTTTCTGATTTTTTGCATATCAATGTGGCCTATGTTACTCGAACCCAAGTGAGGGTACTGGATACGGGTTTTCAATTCTTTCAAGGGTCCAAAAATGCCCACGGATTCTTCAAGAAAAAAAAGAAGAGTTCGAGTAATATAGACTGTGATTGTTGGATTACCGCTTGATCTTTGTGTATCTGATCTCTTTGATAGGAAAACAAGAATGGTCTTCTACAGATAGTTTGTGGTTATCATGCTTTAGCTCTTCCTCCACGAGGAAGTGAAATAGTTTTCCAGCCTCTTGAGCATTTACAGGCTATTGAGTACGAGAGACCTCCTATTTCAGCCCTTGCATTGGATGAAAGTTATTTTTATTCATTTGAAGCAGCTGAGGTATTTCTTTGTTAAAATTATTTTCAGTCAATTGCACCTTCTGTAACATATATATTTACTTAAATGTCTCTCAACATGGTGAAAGATCAATGCAAAATTGGATTCAGCGGAGGAAGCTCTTGCACTTTCAGTATGGACAACCGCAACGATTTGCCGAGTTCTCTCTCTTGATGGTGTAATGTTCTTTGATGCATACCTATTCAGTTTAACTTTATCTGTGTTGATAGCCATTAGCATTTGAGTTGCAAATGTAAATAAGCGTAGGCATAGACATGCTAAAATCGTCTTAAATGGCCTTTCAGGCATAAAAAATCGAGACATTGTTGAGATTTCATTAATTGAGCAGCAAATGAAAGAAGGAAGACTGTTCTTATCTGAAGAAGATGTCTAAAGAACATGCATATGCATACCAAAACTTTGACGCGTTGCTCTGCAAATAATGCATTCGAAGTAAAAGAATCTGGAGTGGAACTAAATTGCTAATTTAGACATAAGCTCAACTATATTAGGAATAGCTACTTTTATCACCTATGCACGTGTTCATTTGAGAGAGAATCGCATTTCCTGTGTTATTTTTGGATGATTTGGTCTCACCTTATGATTGGTTCTTGCAGATTTTGGCAGTGCTCGCAGGAGTACTACTGGAAAAACAGGTTGTAGTAGTTTGCCCGAATCTGGTAAGTTAATTAGTTAAGAGATTGTATTTTGCATTTCTGTCTTCTGCATGTAGTGTTTCTCTTGTTGCAGCTGCAAACTGTACCCTGGCAGTGACACTAATTTTCATCAATGCAGGGTGTTCTGTCGGCTGTCGTGTTGGCACTTATTCCTATCATTCGTCCATTTCAATGGCAGAGTCTATTGCTTCCAGTAATCTCCGTAACCTCTATCATGGCTGCTCTTTATTTCAGATTTTAGAGTTGACATCTTTCTGGATGTAGCTCAGAATTTACAAATATGGCTTCATGTGTGTGTCCTCTATTCTCATCCTGTGAAATTCTGTTTTTGCATTCAGGTACTGCCGATGACGATGCTGGATTTTCTTGATGCACCTGTTCCATTTCTTGTTAGTGTTTTCCGGGCTTTAACAATATTAAATAAATAAATATATTGTACTTTTTGGCCATTTTTTTTATCTAAGATCCCCAATATCCAGTATCCACACGGACCCGGTTATATTTAGAGTCGAATCGAGTTAGACCCTAACTTCGATTATATTTTTGGTCTCCCAACGTTTTTTTTTCTATAACAAGGTGGGAATCCAAAATCCTACTTAAAAGGGCATTGAATTGTTTGCTATCAATATAAATGGCCTAATTTAGCTTCTTGTTTCTCTCATTTTGTAGGTTGGCGTACAAGATAAACCCGCTGATTTGAAAATGAAAACATCTAATCTTGTTCAAGTTAATTTGCCCAAGAAACAGGTCCTTTTTAATGGTTTCTAAACAGTCTTACATGTTTGGTTAGAAATTGTAGTAAAACTCGAAATTTACGTACAGTTGGACTGTTATTTAGTTGCCTCTAGCCACCAGTGCCCTAACTCCGAGTACTCTCGGCTGTTCTTCAGGTGAAAACATGTTACGTGCCACCACTTCCTCAACGTAAAGAACTTGTATCGGAGCTAGGGCCAATCCATTCGAGACTCTCCTATGAAGGGTCGATTGCTAAGAAGCATCCTACATATAGGTGCAATGAGGCGCAGGTGTTTTACTCATCACCATAACCAAATGCTTAATATTTCTACTTGTATGCCCATTTGACTAGAACTTGGGGTTTAGGAACATACTTCTTATAGAATATGTCAATCTCAAACCCTTTTCATCTTTACCCTTTTTCATACATCTTTTCTGACATAAACAACCTTCCGACTTTCCGGTTTACTGTATCAGGCTGAAGCCGCATCCCAGTTTTTGGCAGTCATGAGGGAATACCTGGAGTCGCTTTGTGAAAACCTGAGGTCTCATACAATTACTAATGTACAATCAAACGATGACAAGGTTGCCACCTATCTTCCTGTTCTTCCAGTTTGTTTCCCAAACATATCAATGCAAAAATACACATTTTCGCATCTACATTTTATGTTTTTGACCAACCAACAGGTTTCCATACTACTTAAAGAAAGTTTTATCGACTCTTTTCCGGTTAAGGACCAGCCTTTCATTAAGGTATTTTCTCTCCTGTTTTAATATTTTTTGGTACAGTGTTTAAACTACTAAAACTTCTCTCAAATCCATTAATCGAAAGTTATTACATGTTTGAACATGTTCGAACGACAATGATGCCAATCAAACTAGAACTTTGTCTGACTACTTTTGTTTAAACTATTTTACTAGCAAAAGCAAATCATAAAACTCTACTAACGAAGTGTGTAAATGAAGTAAATTATGGGTAATCGAACAGCTTCCATCACCAAATAATTTTATTTTTCGCAGCTGTTTGTAGACACACAACTATTCACTGTTCTATCAGATTCTCGTCTGTCAAGTTATGAGAATGAGCGCTAACTTAAAACCCCCACCAACTACCAGGTATGTTTGCATCAAGTGAAACTTCCCAGATGATATACCTTAGGTACTTACTCTTGAATTAGGCCAAAAAGATAAAGCAAATTCATAGCTTGAAAAAGTGGTTATATCTGAAACTATATTGGCAGTGCCCCTAAACCATGTCAAATGGATGCTGCAGAGGCCCATCCATAAGATGTGAACTCGTTTGCAGCAAACAGTTGCGAAAAAGAAAGAAGAATTTTGTAACGTGTAATAATTGGGAAATGCCATAGGAAAAAGGAGGTTGCAAACAACTGTTATCATCCCTGATATTTTATGGGATGTGATGCTTAGAATCTCAGAGGTTTCTTATTACCTGCAAATCCTTGTAAATGTCAATAGTTTAATGGAACAGTTTATACAGCAACTCATACTATTGGTCATTGTATGTGTAGAGCTCTGAGTGTCACTGGATTCACCTCTGTTCCTAGCATTCATTATAATACTATTCTCACCACAAAACTCAAGGGCACGAGCTTTTCAAATAAGTAGCCTAAACTTACGAAATGATTCACCGTTGGAAGTAGGCTCAAGGATCCATCCTGCAAAAAATGCGACAAGTAGAACATTTAGTGATGAGCCAAATAACTAGTATTGATCATTTCTGTTTTGCAAAGGCAAATGAGAAAATGAATTATCTATACATCAATGATTAAAGGGTAAAATAAGCTATGGGTAAATTCTTTACGAGAGTTTAAGGGAATTAACAAATTTATGGCAGCTTGATGCAAGCGTGATGAGAAAAGAATGAATCAAACAATCCTTAATAGCATAAAATTAGCTAAGCATAAAATTAGCTAAGCATTCATCCATCAACAATTGACGACCCAACAACATAAAAGCGGGGAAAAACATCTACAGAAGAATCATTTGCTTTTATAATCAATATATATGATTCCCGTTGGAGAAATCTTTAGCCTGGTTGTGCATTATTTCTACTAAGCATATAATATGATACACCTATTGATTTTATTATATATTATGACAAAAAAATGCAAATTAATTTTGATATCGACTCCTACAATTGTTAGGACAAAGGAACCAATCTTTTTTTCGAGGATGACGTGCAAATAATAAATTACAGCCAGTCCAAAAACACTAGAATGTCAGCTAAAATGAAAATCGTTGCACCTACCAGATAGTCAGCTTAGTTCAACAAGATCTGTAGGAGCCCGTATTAACTTGGGTAACATAGAGATCATACAGACCAGCAGCCAAAAAGCACAAAATTCAAAACCATGACAGTAAGAAAGTAACTTGTGTGTAACTATCAATCATTGGTAGTCACTATTTAGGAAATGAGAAATACAAAAAAGTAGAGAATGAAATGCTACCATAATCAGATCATTTCTTTTCATCCCCTCAGAATCCGACTTTGCAAAAAGGTTCTGGCTGAGTTTGAGAATATGCTGGAGCAATGAACTTTGGGTCTTTGACTGCAACATCAGCGTACTTAAGTATAGCTTCTCTAGGATCTTCTTCCATCCATGTTTCCTTGATCATGCCCCCTTGCTGCAACGAGCGGCAACATGTAAGTTTCTTCCACCAGCTTTAGTTATACGAACATTAAAATTTTAGGGAACACAAGACAGGTAAGTTATTTGAGAGGAAAAACAGCATTACCTTAAGAAGGTACCGAGTCAACAAGCTTCCCTTGGTTGAACCAACCCTACCACCATGTCCTGGTCCATTTATGGGAAGTTCAGGCTTATGTGACTTGACAGGATCCTTAGGTATCTTCTCCCGTTGACGCTTACGACTTGGTTGGTCTCTAAATAATGGTAGTGCACGAGGATTGTGAATAACAAGTGATTAGTGTCTTGTATTATTGTTATCAGTTCATACTTTTTGATTGTGCAAACAAGAGAATGTGTGCTTAGGATAATACAGAAAGAGAAGAGAGTATGATCTACCTGATTTAATCTTGGGTGTCAAGCACATTGCATAACACTGCAAGATGGAGATATCCCAACTCTTTGAACAAGTTCAAGTTTTGAAGAATCATAAAAGCACAGCAAACCTCCAGTGGTACTTTCCTTCTCAATAGATATTCCAGTTAGAAAGTGTTGCTCATCGGGACTAAATGCAATATTTGTTTGGGCATAGTTATTTGGTAGATCATCAAACACCTTAAGAGTGGCTTTAATTTGGCGTAAATCCAAAACCTGACATATAATTCATAATTTATAACAAATATTAAAATTCTGAAATGATTTATTTGGTTTTGGGGTTCGGGGAAGAGTGGATTTCTTATTGACCTAGCAAAGCTGTGCAAAATACCTTGAGTGAACCATCAAAGCTTCTAGACAACAAAGTTTTCCCATCGCTAGAAAACTTAAGCCCCGTGATATCATCAGAATGGCTTTTTTCAATATATAATTCGGTCTACTTCCCCATCCAGGCTTAAGGGTCCATATCTGCAAAATAGTTCAAGCTATCATGTGATTAAGGTGAAAACAGAAACAGTAAAACAACATCAAGATATTTTGCAATAAATCCACATAAAACAAATGCTTAGCTATCAGCAATAAGTACCTGTATAGAGCCATCACCAACCCCACCAGCAATACATCTCCCTTCACGATCCCACGCACATGTCGTTACTGGAATTCTTCCAGGCCTTGCAAGTTTTGGTTTGATAACCTACATAATAAACAATTGAAGCATTTCTTTACCTAATTCCCTTTCAATGTAATCAGCAATGCAAAAAAAAAATACACCTGCTTTTGACTCTTAAAGTTATTCACATCCCATATACGGAGATCCATCTTCAGATGATGTCAAAATTGTCTCCTTGGTTTTCAGATGCCATTCTCCACAAGTCAAACCCGATATATGCCCCTTAGTATTCTTCAAATCGCGAGAATATACATATCCCCTTTTACAAACTCACCTAAAGTAAGTCCATCTCGGTCATCTATCTAAATTGAAAATCATAATACAATCATGAGCAACTAAGCAGTCAATACTATAAAATACTAATAAGTTAAGTAAGAAATAACCTTAGCTTGAGCAGAGCCAGTGACACATAAAAACCGGTCTGATGTGGAACTCCAGCTTAGATTACGAACTTGGTGGCCTTCAAATGGTTCAAGCTGTAAACGAGAATTCATTCCTTGGAAATCAAACATTCTAACCGTATAGTCAAAACTACCTGAAAGAACCCTAGAGCCAGAGTGATCAATTGCAAGAGCCGAAACAATCTGAACGCATTAAACATAATGTGGATTTGATTATTTCAGTAATTAGAGCTTAAATAGGTTTTAAACTTCCAGAAATCGGAATTAAAAGAATTACCTTAGTATGTCCTTTGAGAATTATCTCATTGCTCATTGGAATTCGATAACGGTTCTCCTCCTCTTCCTCCTCGCCTGAGTCCAAACTCGGTTCAACAGGTGGGCGTGCTGGCCCAATCATGGCATCGTTATCGTCATGCTCACCTGAACCAGGAGGAGGCGGAGGAGGTCCTACCATGACGTCATAATCGTCGTCATAATCGGGAACTGGACCAGAAGGCGGTCGAGGCGGCCCAATTACTGAGTCACTAGGGTTAGGGTTGGGAGATTTGGAATTGCGAAGGGAATCTAGCAAAGCTTTGGAAGACGAGTAAATAGAAGGGAGTGCTTCATTGGCTTTATTGTTACTATACTAGGAGGCGGAAGAAGATGAGGCGGAGGCGGAGGCGGCTGTGGAACGGCGAGTGGCGTTGTGAATGGCTTCAAGAGAGATTTGGGACTTTTGCTGCTTACCGAAAGTTAGAGGGAACTGAGCTCTAATTCCATCGTAAATTTCTGCTTCGTCTTCCATTTTACTTCCCCACTCACTGCTCGCTCGAATTAAAAAAAACGTTCTTTTTTTCTTTTTTTCTTTTTCAAAGAATTATAGCTATAGTAGTCTCCTGGTATAGCAGGCATGAACATGGAATTTCTGGTACTTTTAGCCCGGGAAACCAAGCCGAGAGGTTAAGCGGCCTGCAAATGGAAGCAAGTGGGCTCGCGCTTGGTGTTTTTCATGGGCTTTTATCGCGATTCAACTCATTAATGGACTTGGGGCTTTTTTCATTTTCATCCCCTCACAATTTAAATGTGTGAACTTTTAGCCCAAATAATGGAGCTTTTGAGCCTTTGAAAGGAAGCAATTCTTTCCAATTTCTTAGGTCCAATTTTGTTTGTGGTCCCTTCACTATGCTCAACTTTGAGATGCTAAAAGGCAACTGGCTGAAGAACATGAAAATTATGAACATGGCTGCAAAAAGCTTGTAATCACTGGTTCATATTTGTTAATTCTCACTGTACCCAGATGCTTTTCTTGACAAAATGAAAATTATGAACATGGCTGCAAAAAGCCAACTGGCTGAAGAAAGATTCCAAGACAAAAGAGAAAAATATATTATTGTTTTGAGTCGGGTCAAGTCAATTCAGAATTTCTTTCTCTCTTTAAATCAGAATTTCGACTCGACCGTAATCTTTACAATAATTGTTTAATCTCAATTTATATCTAAAAAAATTAATTTTACCAAATAAAATCGAATCAAAACTTGTTAAATCCAAATTAAACTACCACGTCTATACATGTCACCGAGTTGGATTTTTCTCCTTTATAAAGATTAAATCAAAGCTACCTCCACCACGTAAATGATATAATATATCAATTCAAATCTCAATATTTATAACTATCAATGTAATATCAGAGAAAGATATTTTAGTTGCTCACCGACTCTTCAATTTGTTCATAGAATCTGACATACCAAAGCACCAAAGAGGCACCACAAAAAGCACCATCATCACCAGAAAAGGCAGCAGGAAATGATGCTAAGAAGTTCTTCAACTCCCCTTCTTGGATCACTCATATCTTCCATAGCTGCTGACAGTCCTAACGGCAACAATCACTACTATGAAACCGGCAGCCCCTTCAGACACTACCCATCAAGCTCTTTTCATGGCCACAGTCATCACAACAGGCTCTCATTTCATCCTTCTCCAGGCTCAGTCCACCTCTCTGCAGCAGTTTCTTGTGGCTCTTCCCCTATATCTCCCTCCGTTGTTGATCAGTTTTCTGATTTTGAGCTCAAAGGCTTTCGGCGAGCTCAATCCGAAGGGAACTTAGAAGGACTTGTCCATTCAGCTTGCGATGGCAATGGAGAATTCTACCATCGGAGCCAACCCAAGAAGCTTTCTGCAAGAAGCAATTGCTTCATGCTGGAAACAATCCCTTCCTTTTCGGTTTATAATTCAGGGGAGAGGTGTGAGGAAGATGACGAGAGTGATTTCGAAGAAGAAGAAGAAGAAGAAGAAGATGAAGAGCTAATGGCTGTTGTCAATGGTGGTGGCCATGGATTCAACTCAATCAGTTTGGAGGATCTGTTGTTCAATGAGCAGGTTAAAGTTACCGATGAAAAAGGCCTTGTGGGTCAAGAAATGTTTCTTCCTACAGGACTTGAGACAGCCACAGATGGCGGTAACAGAAGCGGTATCAGTGGCGGATATGGTGGCAGTTGGGGCGGTGGCGGTGGTGAGTTTAACTCAGCAGGCTCAAACGGAGATGCTGAAGTCGAGGAGTATTACAAGAGAATGGTGGAGGAAAATCCAGGGAACCCTTTGTTTTGGGGGAACTACGCTCAGTTTTTGTACGAGGTCAGTGTTTCATCTTTCATTTTCTTTCTTTTTCGAGACGAAAATCACCGAGCATTTTTCGACAGTCGAGAGACCTCGAAGGAGCAGAAGAGTATTACAGTCGAGCCATTTTAGCAGACCCAAAAGACGGTGAAACTCTGTCCCAATATGCCAAGTTAGTGTGGGAGCTACATCGTGATGAAGAAAGAGCTTCAAGCTACTTCGAACGAGCAGTTCAAGCCTCGCCACAGGATAGGTAAATCATAATTTACTTATCACCCTTCATTGTTGTTTTGTGTTCCTTAATTTGTAGACTATGTGGTAAAAACTTCGTATTTTTCTGGTGTTACAGCCATGTTCATGCAGCTTATGCTAGTTTCCTATGGGAAACAGAGGAGGATGGAGATGAGTGTGCGGCGCCTAGCGATCTCGATGCCATTCCCTCACTAATTCATCATGGAACCTTGGCAAGCGCTTAGCCAACCTGTAAATGTACAATAAGGGAACAGTTCTTTAGATATATATGAATTTTGGGAAACAACGATACTGTTCATTTATATCCATATTTTTTTATTAAATCAGTCGGTACTCGAATCCGAAACTTCCAAAATAACAGCTACTCTTTAAGTAAAATAATTTGGTTCGTATTATGTATACCTAAATTTGATTCTCAATCTATTCACAATCATATATATAAATCGGAACTGTTTGTTTGACTCTGAATAGAATCATTCAATATTAAATGCTGTCGTACAAGTTACGATATATATGAGTTATTTTAGTTAGAAAAACAATCTGTTTTCCTTCCCAGTTTACTACTGCTCGTTCTTTACGTTAAAACAGAAACCCTCCAACGAAAACACTATTTTCTGTCGAAGTAAACCATGGCGGCCCAACCCAGACGAGGCGGAGTTTCCGTACCCGACAGACGATCCGCCTCCAAACCCGACTCCAGCATTCTCTACAGGATCATATCCTCTTCCATATTTTCTCGTGGTAAGCAAGCGGCGAGCGACGCTGCTTTTGTCTCCGATAAACTCCTCCGTAGCATCGGCAAATCCGCTTGGATCGCCGGAACAACCTTCTTGATCTTATTTGTTCCTTTAATCATCGAGATGGACCGCGAGCAGCAGTTCACTGACCTCGAGCTCCAGCAAGCTAGCCTCCTCGGTGCCCCGCCCGCTGCACCCGCGCGCTCATAAGTAATCGGACCTAGTCGTATCAGGTCAGAGCTTCTTGCTGTTTATAAAAATTTATGGCTGTTTTAGGCTATTCTCCTTCCTTTGTTTACAACACCTTTTAGATGCAGTCTTAGCATTTCCCCCCTTTAATTTAATTAAGACTGTACTACTTTGGTATTTAAGTTTTAAGTACTTCTCGGAATGTTGTTATTGTACTGTGATAACTATAGAGATGATTATCCAACTCCCAACTCCTTTGTGGGACATTTGGCCAATCCCCAACAACGGGTATTGTACTTGGCAGAGTGCGGGAGAGTAATTCTCGACTCGGGGACAATGTCAGTTGTTGGGCGTTTGGTCTACTGTTTACAGATGACACTTCACAAACTTCTTCAGTAGTCGGAAGTTCCCTCCACAAGGATGAATGAATATGTTTTATGGTTGTATTTTGATGTACCAAAGATGTGAGCAAATTCATTTACTTGATCGCTTTGCCTTGAATCTGTGTCTGTGGATTACTTTGTAGTATGAGTGTATATCCATAGATGGATAATAGATATGCGAAGATTTCATGCTTCTGTTTGGGAAGTTTTATATTGTTGTATTAGTCCGTTTTATTAATCCAGTTGTAGGAAGGTTTATTTTTAGAAGACTTTGGTTCTCTTTTACTGAAGGCCCAACTTAAAGATATATCACAAAGAAAATTTGGTTAGTTATGTGCTTGAGGGATTTTTGTTGTTAGATTCAAGGTTTGAAGTTTGAGCAAATTATTCTTGGAGGATTCAAGGCTGTTTTCCTGTTTCTTTTGCAACTGCATTGGTGGTTGAATCCATTAGATCAAAAAGCTTTGCATCTGCTATCATAGGTAAGGATGAGGAGAAATGTAGTCTCTGCCGAACCTAGGTCTGTGATGCCCCTTTTCTTAAAGCCTTTTGTTCCAAGTCCGGGTTGTTGTGGAAAACAGATCGATACATGGTTTTCTCTGTTGCAACTGCAGTCGTTCCAGATATCCAAGCATCCAAATTGGTCGCTATCATGATGCATGTGGTGAGTATTTCATATTTTTCTTATATTTCAAGTTGTGTATCAATGCCAAATCGGTAGTTCATAACTATTAGAAGTTGTCCCATGCTTGCTTTCTTGCTCCATTAATTCAGTTTTAGTTGTCCCTTATGTTCTTGTTGTATGTATGTTCCCAGAACACCAAATGGTCTAAGTCACTGTTTCCCTTTGTCAAACATGGAGAGGAGTATAGAGTAACAGGCAGTCATCGGAACTTAAGCACGACTGATGTAACCATCTTGGGTGCAATACAGGTAAAATTGCATTTTTTTAGTGCCATTGTTCATCCGTCAACCAATACATGTTTGTTTAACTGAAATTGCAGGCACATTTTTCCTTGGTTTTGTCCCCTATACTAAACTTCTATGTTCCATAGGTGCGTGCAGAGATTCAACTACCATCAACATTTGTGCCGAGAATTTTTTTTGGAGTTTTTGCGATATGGGAAACAGATCATGGATGGAGTTTACATAGTTGTTGATTTCACAAGCCTTTATTTTGGTGATCCTTGTAAAGTGTAATAGTGAAAAGAGACCATCAGGAGTCATAATCAGGGAACATGGACCTAAAGATTGTGAGGTTTGTAGTCTTTGATAACTTTCTTTTACCTTACAGTTGCTTCAGTCATTGTAATAGAAAAGCTTTTTTTCTTTTTCAAATAGTATTGTAATTTTCTCCTTGAACAGATTATATGGATTGAGAATGTGGAAGTGGATGAAACCAGAGAAAACATAAACTCCTCCATAATCAATTCAAATGTTGCACACAGTGCAGATCGTTCAATAAGCACACTGTTATGGAATCTGAAGCGTGAGAAGAGTTCATTCGTTGATCTCAAAATCGTTGTGCATCGCAGAGGTAATAATAAGTCTTGTTTTCCTTTCAGTTTTATTCTGGGATAATTTAACTTTTTGATTCAATAATTTGTTGGTGTTGCGGTGCGCAGCTGGTTCTTTTCTCTTGGCTTTAACTCGAGCTATGAAGCGTTTCTTTATGGAATGTGTTTCTCAGTATCCTGACGAAGCTGTAATTGCTGTAGCAACTAGTCATGAAGATCCAATAAGGATTCTGCATAACCATACACTAACAGATCAAGTTGCCTTCGTCGGCTTGAACAGTTTCAGGGTTCAAGCTAAACCGCAGTCGGTTATTCAATTTTTGATGGAAAAAGATATACTGTTGGAGGTATGAAAGAAAAGAAATCTCAAATGTTCACTCTTCTTAATCTTGAGGTCGTGGGATCGAGTCCCATTGAGGGTATTTCATAATTTGAAGGTCTCCAACGGAAGCTGCTCTCAACCTAGTGTTGGGGGCAGCCTACTATCTTACCCCCCTTACCCCATTACATATGGGAACAAGGGACAGTCATTTTTATCTCTCTGCACAGAAAGGTTATAAAAGAGATAAAAGTCTGCTCACAAATAAAACCCAAAATTTCCCTTTTGCACAAGTGTGTGCTCACATTCAGTGTGGCAGGAAATCGTATACTGCTTACAGGAAGTTTCAATGGATGAACACTGCTCCTTTATTCTGTCCAAAACTATGGAGTGAAGAGTTGGTGGGTGCTCACATTGTTTGCTGAGAGGAAAGCGTTTATGAGGAAAGTGATATCGTAACGGGAAACGTAACTCCTTGTGGTTTTGCTATAATGCCCGATGGCCCTGGAGGCCTCCAATTCGATGCCTGTCTCGTAACCTTTCTTATGCAGCTATATTATGATTCCTGTGGGAGGTGCTGTTCATGTGTTGTGTCAGAAAAGATTTTATCAGTGATTTGAATTATACCATTGCAGAGTTGAATGAAAAGGGTAAGTTGAATTACGAGATGATTACAGAAAATACTTAATTTAGAGGTGTCTTCTCACAGCTTTTTCAAACTTTGGTTTTGCAGTTGCTGGGAGAAGTGACTGAATTTGAAATCGTCGCTGGAGGCAGGGCAGGGCAAGACAAGGCAAGGCAAGGCTAGGCTTCATCTGAGCATGGAAACCATAGTCTGTAAAACAAGATACTCTTGATATAGATACACACACACCTAATAGATCAAGAGTCTTGTTTTACCACTTGCACAAACTGTGATTACTGGGTTTTGAGAACGTATTTTGACCAGTGACTACAGGGTTTAAAGAATGAATTTTGACATTTTCTATTAGCCCCTTTACAAATTGTCAAATTATGAATGAGTCCAATGATAAAACTACACTTTCATCCCAAACTCAAATCTCTGATTCTAACCTTACCCTCTAAAATGTTCCTGGTTTCACCCCTTATCATGTTATTGATGAATGACTGCATGTGAATGACAGATTGCGAAAACAGTATCATGATGACCATACATGAAGTTGCCAAAAATTATGGCCACATCGAGTACCAAGTTGTTGGTGTCTTGCTAGTGGTTTAGTCAACTCAACAAACTAAATGCCCATCCCTCATTTGACACGTGTCAACCAAGATTCCCGTGGACCATGTTTCTGTCTAAGAAACCACACCCAAGCAACTCTCTCAAATTTATTTTAGGATAAATTATACCGATGATCACTTAATATGATGAAATTTTAATTTAGCCATTAATTTTTGTTTTAATTTTTTTCAATTTGTTCACTTGACTATTTAAGTTATATCAATCAAGTCATTTACTGTTAACATTTGACAGAAATTTGAGTTGATGTAATTTTTTTCAATTTGTTCACTTGACTATTTAAGTTATATCAATTAAGTCATTTACTGTTAACATTTGACAAAAATTTGAGTTGATGTGACATTTAATAAAATTAATAAAATTATAATGGTCACATCAATTTATTCATCAAATATTAACAATAGATGATTTGATTGATATCATTTAAAAAGATAAGTGGTTTAATTGATAAAATTAAAAAGATTAGTATTCATATTGAAATTTCCCTATAAATAAATGGTCATATTTGTAATTTGCCCTTTTTTTAATAAGTCTAATCGAGAAAAGAAGAAAATGCTAGTTGCAGAGTCCTCCGTGGCTATTGGCCTTTTGGCAGCTGAAAGACCACGTCTCTCATCATATGAGCATCCAGTTATAATTACGCCTACGTGCAGCCAATCGGATAGTTTTCCACTCCCCTATCACAACCCTCCACGTAGACAATCATGTGAACCCCACAGCTAAATCCAAGCAATGTTGAATGCTTGTTGAGGACCATTTTCCACTCATCACCAGAGAGGTTACCTAACACGCGCCACGATAGGCTCGTCTGCTAAATCACTGTTTGTCTCTTATTAGCTGCAAAGTCAGAAAAGGGTCACAAAGAAGAGGCAATAACGTTATCCGCCACCGTTCATTTTCTGGTTGGCTTAACGCCGGTAACGGATTTTTAAAAAAAGACCCGCCTATGGTTCTATAAAAATTTCCTCCACAGTCCTCCTTTCTTGTTTGGATTCGATTCTTTTCGGTGGGTTTTCAATCCTGTGAAGTTTCCATCAAGTTTTTAGGTTAGAATCGCTGTACCCATTTGCTTCGTTTTGCTTAATCTCGCCTTTTTAGAGTTAAAATACCTGTAATTTATTGTTTTCTATTGAATGAAGCTTCAGTTAAATTTTGATGCGTTTTCAATTGGTGGGCCTTTGACCCCAAAAAAATGAAAAATTGCTTTTTAAAGGTCTGACAGAATCAGTTATGGTCGAGATATGAATTGCAGCGTGGGCATCATTTCGTTCTACGCTGACTATGTTTGGGCTAACTGAACTCGTTCGTTAGGAATTTCAGAATAGGCATCCATTTTAAGCACATTGTTATTATTTTTAACATATCTGTAAGGAAGCATGCGAGCATGTTTGCGTATCTGTTCATCTTAATTTTTTAGCAGTATTTCATAGGTGTTTTCTGGGGTTACTGTTTTTCTTGTGTACCTCAATATTATTTATTTATTTATTTGTTGGATAATGTTTATTGACGCCAAAAGTTATGACCTTTCCTTTTGGGCATTTTCAACCAAGAACAAGGATGCTTTTTGTAGCTTTCATTTGTTTGTCTGCAACAGTATGAACTGAGCTAGTTAGGCTACTATTGGTTGACCAAAGAATTGACATCTTCAATTTTCTATTTTAGGACAATTATGGAGGCACGGCCTGCTTTGTCTATTCAGAGATCAGGTGCAAGTAACCTGGGGGTGTCTGAAGGACTGTCGTCATCTTTACCAGCCATTTCAACACCTTTGGATGATACGTATCTGAAGTTGCCCGGCACTCAGCAAGTTTCAGCAAAAAGGGAACTGATGGGAAGCCCTCTGGTTCGTGCAACTCGTTCTTCCACCAATTGTGGGGTGGTTGGTCATATATTCTCATCATCCTCAGGATTTTCGAGTGATCTTCATTACTCATCTTCATCGCCTCATGAAAAGCATTCAAGAAATGCTCCTTTTATTTCTCAGGCACCAACTAATGCTGCAGATTTGTTGTTACCTCAATCGTCTAACCAAACGCTGCCTCAATCTACGATGTCAAGTCATTACTATAAAGAAAATAGTGGTTCTTGGTGTCCCGATCCGGGTTTCTCTGATTTTCCTATAAGCACCCCTGTCCAGAGCTGTCAAGTAGAAAGCACTAACTGTAGTGATATCATGACATCTGAGGACTTGTGCAAAAGTAATGATTGGCAGGAATGGGCAGACCAGCTTATCACTGACGATGATGCGTTGGCCTCCAATTGGAATGAGCTTCTTGTTGACAACGTTAAGGATATGGAACCAAAGGTGTGGATTTTTTTTATTTTTTTTATATCATGGAAGATTATACGTAATCACGTAAACTTTAAACTTATTGACATAGTTTATCTTGTTTCTTGTTGTTTGACATGGTATATCAGGTGGCAAAACCATACACAACCATAACTGAACAGAAACCCCAAGTACATCAGCAGCTTCCTTCTCCATCTGTGGCAATTGTAAACTCCTCATCAGCAGCAAATAATGCCCCAGCAAAGCAACGAATGCGATGGACACCAGAACTTCATGAAGCCTTTGTTGAGGCTGTCAACCAACTAGGAGGCAGCGAAAGTGCGTACCTTTTGGCTATCGTGAAATTGCTTGCCAAAAATTGTGTAGGCTTTTGTTTCAATCTGTTTGGTGTTTTTCGAATTTCAGGAGCTACTCCAAAGGGCGTTCTGAAGATTATGAAGGTTGAAGGCTTGACTATTTATCATGTTAAAAGTCATTTGCAGGTACATACACCTCTCTTTTAGTCATTAAAGAATATGTATGGGTGCTCAAAAGCCCTGGTTACGTTTTCCTTCCTTTAACTGCAGAAATATAGGACTGCCAGATACAGACCAGAGTCATCGGAAGGTACATGTCAAGCTCCCTTTAAGTTTCCTTCCTTTTCCCTATCTGTGTTACTTCTCTGCATGTGTTCATCTACAGCCTGTTTTGCTTTGTTAGACTTTTTTGGAAGGGCGGTTTATTCCTTGCTACTTGTTTTGATGTTTTTTCTTAATGGTTTGTGTTATGGTTGAGGAGGATTGTTCAGTGTTATATAGTCCATCATGCTTTATCCATGAAGTGATCTTTTTTCCTTCATTTGGTTTAATTGGATCCAGAATCTTTAACTGTCCAGTGAATTATGAAGCACGCTATCATGCACTCATAATCATATCCTCCCATACTGATACATTAGAGATCATAGCACTGTATTTCAATGGATGCAATTTTGACACTTGAGAGGTTTATGGTCCATGCTGTCCTCTTCAATGAAATGGAGATCATTTTCCCTTCATTTGGTTAAACTGGAATCTTCAGCTGTATTGTGATTCCCCCCCCCCCCCCACACCAAACATTCATTCAGAATTTGCCCTTTCTTAATTTATTCACAAAGTGATTATCTTTGTAGTTGGCATGGATGTTGTCATTTTTGGTAACTTCTGTTTTTGGATGATGACTGATTTATATTATGCAAATTTGGGTTGTCATTTTATATCTGGCTAAAATTATGACTGTTGCTTGCAGGATCCTTGGAGAAAAAAACGACTACTACGGGAAATTTATCATCTCTGGACTTGAAAGCGTAAGTGGTTCCTACTGATATTGTTATATTGTATTGTATTGTGCAAAGGGATGGTTGAAGGATCCCATTAGTTCAAAAAATCCTACGGAGCTGCAAATTTTACAATCTTGTTCCTATTTTGTTGTTGCATTGTGCAAAGGTTTGATTATAGGAGATTCCTTATGGAATCCTTAAGGAGCAATGTACCTAACGTGCAAGGTCTAATGAAGCTTCGATGTATTAATTTGTTTAATTTAAATTCATTGTATTAAATGCATATTCTTTTTTAATTTCGAACTGGAGCAGGGGTATGGGGATCACTGAAGCTTTGCGGCTACAGATGGAGGTCCAGAAGCAGCTGCATGAACAACTTGAGGTATGAATTTGGGGGCACAAAAGCACATACTTCATGCTCAAACAAACTGATCTGAATAAATTTATCTTTTAATTTCTGGTGTGCTCTCATTCAGATCCATGGTATCTTTCCTTTCTCTGCAGATACAAAGAAATCTACAGTTGCAAATTGAAGAGCAGGGGCGGTACCTCCAAATGATGTTCGAGAAGCAAAAGTCGGGTTTAGATAAGCTGAAGGCGTCACCTTCTAATCCAGGGAATCCACCCACTCCTTCGGATGCTACCAAAGAGACGCCTGCAAAAGGTGAACCGGAAGCCTCCCAGGCAAATCGTGTAAATTCTGGAACTGATGCTGTTAATGTCAAGTCCGTGTCGGAGAGAAGTTTATCAGAAGTGGGTGGAGAGCAAGAGTCACGTAAAACTGCTGACCTCGAGAAAGCTGAAACCGATGTTTCCGATTCGAGTTCACCACCCTCGAAGCGTTCAAGAATCAAAGAATAAGTTTATGATGGGTTTGAACTGACAACAATTATTTCATTGATGATTGCATTAGTGCGATAGACCAGCTTGGGATGAGCTTTTGAAGTTTCTAGGTCCTTTTTTTGGGGTGATGTTCTTGTGGACAATTTCATTTGTAGGATAAACCGTGTTGTGTAGGTTTCGTGAGCATAATTCGATATTGTCCCCTTTTGAAGACAACTTGATACCAGAGTTGCCAAAGGACTCCGATATCAATAGAGGTGACAAACAAGTCATTTGGATTGGGTTTAGGTTAGATTATTTTGGGTTTAGATTATATTTTGTTTAATTTTATTCTGGTCGGATTGGATTGGGTACGAATTTAATTCATGTGTATGATAAATCGAGTTGGGTCAATTTTCGGGTGGGTCAGTTTTCAGGTAGGGTGATTATCGGATCGGTTGTTTTTCGATTCGGATCAATATCGGATCGGTTGACATTCGGATCGGGTCATTATTAGATTAGTTGATTTTTTGTTTTGGTCAACATTTAAATAATGTCAATTCAGGTTAAATTTGCTATTAGTTTAATAAAGTATATATAGAATTATTAATATATTTTTTGTAAAAATATGCCTTCTTGTTTGTTAATCTTATTATTTAGGCGTAATTCAGTTATAAGCCTAATCAAGTTTATATAGATTTTCAGTTCAAATTGCTTTCAGTTCAGATTAATTTTGGTTTGGGTTACTTTCGAGTTGGGTTAAATCCGGTTCGAGTTGCTATCGGTTCATGGTATTTTTCGATTCTGATTACTTACTTTCGGGTTGGGTTAATTTTGGTTTGGGTTGCTTTCTGTTCGAGTTAATTTTGGTTCGGGTCAAGCTAGATATGAGTCCATATTGGATAAACTAAATTTTGGATCGGGTATGTTCGAGTTAGGTATGATTTGATTGTCGAATCAAATTTAATCATCATATTTAGGTTAATATCAAATATTAAGTGAGATAAATAGGTTCGAGTAATCAAATTTGAGTCAAGTTTGCTAGGTCTAGGGTTCGAATATAGAGAACTGCTACTTAGGGTTACAAATCCTCGAAGGAAACTCTTTTTAAAAAATAATAATAATCGAAAGATGAAGAATTTCATATTTTTGAAATGGGTAAATTATACCAATAACCATCTATTATAGCTCATTTTCATTTGGACCACTAATTTTAAAATTTTTTCAATCAAACTACTCAACTATTTAAATGTATTTAATCAAGTCATTAATCGTTAATATTTAATCAGACTACTCAACTTATATATTTTATATATTTATTTATTATTTTAATTTAATTTATTATATTTAACCCTCCAATCATTTAGTGACATGTGTCACTATATAATAAAAAGTTATTTTTATAATTTAATATATTTTTAAATTCTAACAAGATAATGACACATATACCATCTAATTGGAAGGAACACAAATCTCAAAGTCGAACAAATCATGGGGGCTAGAAGGGCTCGAACCTAAGTCTTTTGTTGATCAATCAAGCAAGTACCCTTGCCAATTAACCTATGCCATCAGATGCGTTGCTACACGATAATGTATATATATTATACTCAAATTATTACCCGAAAAAAGGAAAGGAAAATAAGTGTTGTAAGATTTGAACCTAGACCAAATATTAAACTTGACAGCACAAAACTACTAAAACAAATATTATATTTAGTTAAAATTCGGATATATACTTTAAATATTAGTTTATATAAGATTAAAAGATAAATTAAATTTAAGTTCTACACATGATTAAAACCAATATAGAATGAGAGTTATAATTCAGGGACAAATTTAGAATATTCAAAAGTTTAAAGACCAATTTAAAATGAAAACTATAATTTTAAGATGAAATTAAAATGATTAAATGTTTATGGATCAATTTAAAATGAAAGTCATAGTTTAAAACACACTATATAAGATAATTAACTCTTCTAAACATGATGTATGGAAAAAAAGTGTAAGCACATATTTATTTTAAATATTTTTTTCTTAAGAAACAACATATCTGGGGGGAATTAGCCAGGGTAGGGCTCTCTATATAATCAACCGCTTTGTTATTCATGTAATTTATTTTTAGAACCTATATATTTCCAAATTTTATGTGAATTGGATGCTTGGTTTTAGATTTAATGTGTCATTTTTTTAATCAATGTCTCATTTATTTTTAGAATAATAACATATTTCCAATTTTTATGTGAATTCGACACTTGGCTTTTGGACATAGTGTGGGGTACTTGGCACATGCGCAGATAATTGAATTATATGTGAATGATAATTTAATAATTAAAATTTTAAAAATTATAAAATAATTTTGAATTCTTATATTTATCATAATATCATTTTATTGTTGGGAAATAAACGAGTAACAAGTAATTTTCCTATAACCAGATTAGTGAGAATGCGAAATAAAAGCGGAAAAATAATACCCGAAATTGATAACGGAGTTCAGCCAATTGTGCTTACGTCTCCGGACTGCTGCAGATCTTTTACTAAGAGAGAAAATTTACAGGTGTTTACAAAACACTCACTACTCACAAGAAAGCTCTCTAGTATTGGGAGAAAGAAAATGATTTTTGGGATGGTTTTGAAGCTAAATGAGCTAAGGTATTTATAGTTGAAACTTAAGGACTTAATCTTGTAAATACCCTAAAACCTAGGGATTAATTGTGATTATTCCATTATCATTTTTTCAACAAACATCTACCAAACTTTGAAAAACTATTTTTCAAAGAAACATTTACCAAACTTTGAAAACCATTTTCAAAGAAACATTTACCAAACTTTGTAAACCATTTTTTTCAAAGTTGGTTACCAAACTTGAAAAACCATTTTAATACTTTCAACAATCTCCCACTTGAAGATTGATTTTAATCTGTCTTCACACCTCGATCAATGCAACAGCTTTTCTAGTCTTGTTACTCTAGCATGCCAAATGAAGTTGAACACAACTTCAGTTTGTCTGTAGTCACCGTCTTTGTCAACATATCTGCCGGATTTTGAGCTCCACTGATCTTTTCAAGTTTCAAAATCTCATCTTCTAGAAGAGACCGGATAAAATGATATCGCAATTGTATGTGCTTTGTCTTGGAATGAAAAGACGGATTCTTTGCTAGATGTATAGCACTTTGACTGTCGCAATACAAGACATTGCTTTCTTGTTTCTTGCCTAACTCTTCCAAGAAACTTTGGAGCCAAACCATCTCCTTGCTAGATTCCGTAACAGCGACATATTCTGCTTCAGTTATGGAGAGAGCAACTATCTTCTGTAGTTGAGAAACCCAACTCACTGCAGTTTCTCCTAGAGTATAGACATACCCTTTAGTGCTCCTTCTGATGTCAACATTTCCGGCTAAGTCAGCATCTACATAGCCTGTCAGTATCGTATCTCCACCTTTGAAACAAAGTGCTTTGTTTGTGGTACCTTGCCCGGATTATTCATGTACCTGCTAACAGCTCCCACTGCTTGAGCAATATCTGGTCTGGTACAAAACCATGACATACATCAGACTTCCAATCGCTGAGGCGTACAGCACCTTCACCATGTGTGCACGTTCTTCCTCCGTCTTTGGTGATTGTTCTTTGGAGAGTCTGAAATGAACACCTAAAGGTGTACTTACTGGTTTAGCATCTTACATGTTGAACCTGGAGAGTACTTTGTTGATGTACTCAGCCTGTGATAATATCAAAGTCCCTGACTTTGTGTCTCTCTTGATCCTCATCCCAAGAATCTGCTTTACAGCGGCCCAGATCCTTCATAGCAAACTGCTTTGACAATTTTTGCTTCAAGTTTATAATTTCTTGCATGTCTGAGCCTGCAACGAGCATGTCATCAACGTACAACAATAAAATAATGAAGCTATTGTCGAACCTCTTGATGTAGCAACAATGATCTGCTTGGCATCTGATAAAACCACTGCTACTCATGAAACTATCGAACTTCTTGTACCACTGTCTAGGAGCTTGTTTTAAACCATACAAGCTCTTCTTCAACCTGCATACCAGGTTTTTCTTGTCTGCCTCATATAAATTTCTTCCTCCAAATCACCATGAAGGAAAGCTGTCTTTACATCTAACTGCTCAAGATGTAAATTCTCTGCAGCTAAAATTTTCAACACCAGTCTGATTGTAGACAGTTTCACGACTAGAGAGAAAATTTCATTGTAGTCAATACCTTCTTTTTGCTGTAAACCTTTGACAACCAATCTCGCTTTGTAGCGTTTGCTCCCATCGTGCTCTTCTTTGATCCTGTAAATCCACTTGTTGAAGCGCTTCTTGCCTGGTGTAATTCAGCTAATTCCCACGTCTGATTTGACAAAAGCGAGTCTATCTCATCTTTCATGGAAGACTCCCACTTGACTGAATCCTCCACTTGCATTGCTTCATCATAGAACTCTGGTTCACCATTGTCAGTCAGCAACAAGTAGTACAAAGAAGGAGAATACCGTTGGGTTGGTTTAGGAATTCTGGAGGAGCGTCTTAGTTTCGGTGTGCCTGGTTCTTCTTGAACTGCTTCAGGACTGATCTGAACATCATTTCCAGAAATCTCCTCAAACTCAACAAATTCCTTTGTTTCAGCTTTGGTATTGGAGCTGCTTGATTCTACAGTTGACTTGTCTTTGTACATCACATTCTCATTGAAAATGACATCTCTGCTTCTAATGATCTTCCGATTTTCGTAGTCCCAAAACCGGTAACCGAACTCATCACCGCCGTAACCACAAGGCTTTTTTCTTAGCATACATAAGAAATACAACCAAACACTCTTAAGTGTGAAAGATTTATTTCTTTCTCTCCAAACTTCCTCTGGTATTCTGCCATCCAGCCGTAACCAACAAAGGCACATTTGTGGACTTAGCATCAAGTTTACTTCTTTCAGCAGAGTCTATGTGTACATAAGAAATACAACCAAACACTCTTAAGTGTGAAAGATTTATTTCTTTCTTGCTCCAAACTTCCTCTGGTATTCTGCCATCCAAAGGAACTGAGGGCCCATGGTTGATCAGGTAAGCTGCAGTGTTAATAGCTTCAGCCCATAGAAATTTGGGCAATCCGGCATGTATCCTCATGCTTCTGGCACGTTCATTCAGAGTTCTGTTTATGCGCTCTGCTACGCCATTCTGCTGCGGTGTCATGGGAACTGTTGTCTCCAGCTTGATCCCATTATTTGCGCAAAAATCTCTGAATCTCCTATTTCTGTACTCTCCTCCATTGTCAGACCTCAACCGCTTGACTTTCATACCATTCTCATTTTCCACCATGGCCTTCCATTTTCTAAAGGTATCAAAGACTTCTGATTTTTTCTTCAGAAAATAAACCCACACCTTCCTTGTAGAATCATCGATGAAGGTGACATAATATAATGAGCCTGCAAGA